GTGGAGGATGGAGCTTGGATGCCAGGGCAGATGGGCAGTACACCAAGGAGGAGCTCTGATGCTGGGGCAGATGGGCAGGACACCAAGGAGGAGCTCAGATGTTGGGGCAGATGGGGTAGACACCAAGGAGGAGCTCCGATGTTGGGGTAGATGGGCTGGATGTGGTGCAAGGAGCTCAGATGCTGGGGTAGATGAGGAGTCAATGGGCTGGACACCAAGGAGGAGCTCAGATGCCGGGGCCGATGGGCAGGACGTGGAGGATGGAGCTCGGATGCCGGGGCAGATGGGCAGGACGCGGCACAAGAGGGTCCCGCGGGCGCCCCGCGCCTACCCGTGACCTTGTCGAGCAGCGAGTAGAGGCGCCGGGCGCAGGGCGCGTAGACGCCCACGGTGACCGGCGTGGACGTGTGGCACAGCGTCTGGGACAGGCACCGGCAGTAGACGTCATCCTCCGTCAGCAGCTCTGGGCGAGAAGGGGACATGGGACGCGGGGTGGCCCCCGGCACCCCGGGGAGCCCTTCCCACCCGCCAGGGGCCCAGGCGTCCTGGCCACGGCCACCCCCTCCCGCCCCGTTGGGGAGGGGACCGACGTGGCCCTCGGGCACAACCCTAGAGCAGACAGCGGAGAATCCCCCAGGGCGGCGGGCAAAGGGCACCGAGCGTCCCGGCAGCGCCCGGCACCCCGGCCGGCCGGGGCCGCCCTTTGCACCCTGCCGGCGCTCCGCACCTGCGGCCGCGCGCGTTGTTTGCCAAAAAAGGCGGAAATTGCCCCGTTTAGTGGAGCAAAAGTCCTRGCGATTTGGGCTCCGCCAAATCACCCCGGCTGCTCCGCAATAGCCCCGGTGCCAGGGCGAAATTCCAGCCGGAATTGCCCCGGGATTCGTGGCAGGACTCTGCCCCAAAGTGTGGGCGTTTTGGGGCAAAATCCCAGCGTTTTGAAGCTGCTCGGGAAGATTTGGGGTTGCTACGAGAATCTACCCCGAGTGGGAAGGAGGGAGTAGGAGAGATGGGATGGGGTAGGAAGGGGGGGAATGGGGTAGGAAAGGTGGATGGGGTCAGATGGAAAGGATGGGATGGGATGGG